ATGTAGACCAGAGGCAGCGCCACATCATCATGCAATGTAGACCAGAGGCAGCGTCACATGATCATTGCCTGGCGCACAGAAGAAGCGCCAGCATGCTGCCTCCACCCCGTGCCGTCGTCTGCAACGCCTGTGCACAGCCAGCATGTAGCCAGCGTAGCGCCAGCATAAAGCCAGCGTCTAGTCAAAGCCCAGCCAGTGTCAAAGCAGCATAGCAAGACTGCATGCTTGACTCACTCGAGGCCAGCCTTAAGTAACAGTTGTCGAGGCTGTCTGGCCTCCGGTGCTTTTCCCTCAGTCGTCCAGATTGACTCACAGCTGAGGGCCCGGATTGTACAGTTGCAGACTTCTCCCTTGGACCTGATGCTGTCTGGGTACCTGCCTGCAAGCAAGTGTGTCCGCTTGACCAGTGGCCTGGGCTAGGTACCTTTGGACTTTGACTGTTGGGGTCACGACAGTTGACCAAAGTCAACTGTCACACGTCCAGGCCCTGAGTCTTTGTTTGGGTTCCTTTTTGCCCCCGTTTCGGCCTGGGCTGAGGGCGGCCGAGTTGGCCCTCAGTCTTTCCACAAGACATATGGCATGGGTTATTGCAAATCATTTGGATCATTTCTCAATTTATGCGTGTCATCCTTGCGCAGGGCCCATGCTAATCTTCTCTGTATCGTTCCAATTTTAATGGATGTCCCGAAGGACCTGAGGTGAATTGTATTAGTTGTTCAAATTTCTCTATCCATTCACCTCCTCTACCTACATGTATGTCCTAATCCCCTGCTCCTCTACAATGGCTGAGAGTAAGCCAGCTCACAGTATTGAGATACAGACCTTAGATCTTCATCGTCTACAATAAAGAAATATAAGCCAATGCTACTGGAATCTCTGCCGATGCCCGTTGATGATTCTGTTGACCAGTTCACCTCTCCTCCATTGAGTGTTCACATGGATTCCGGTAGCATTGGCTGGGGGGGTTGCCAATCCCTGCCAATGCCCATTGATGGTACTGTTTACCAGTTCACCTCTCCTCCATGGCCAATTCCGAAGTGCAAATTCACAAGAAAGAACAATGCCGTCCAATTGTGAAAGAAATGAATGAACGTAAGAGGAGGGAGAGATAGAAGAAGAAGAAGAAGAAGAAGAAGAAGAAGAAGAAGAAGAAGAAGAAGAAGAAGAAGAAGAAGAAGAAGGAGGAGGAGGAGGAGGAGGAGGAGGAGGAGGAGGAAATGAATGACATCCGGCAAGCACGCACACACACACACACACACACACAGGCTTCGGAAACTCAGCAGAACGCGGGAATCTCAGCGAGACATACTTTCCAGCAGGTCTTTACAAAGTTCTTTTGAATTTTTCCTATCTTGAAAGAGGGTTAGCTCTGTACATTATTGTGTTCAGCTGCTTCAGCAGACTTTCGACTCTTGATTGTATCTATAGATTCTACAGTTGCCTGTGTGCAGCCATCTAGCAGGTGCTGCTATCTCAGACATTTCCACTGTCTTCTTGTCTCCAGCTGTGCTAATGTCCTTGCTGAAGTCCACCCATCCAGCAACACAGCAAGCAGCAAGGCTGCGCAGTAAGCAACACGTGAATAAGGGACTGAACTGCAAGGCAGGCGGGCGCGCGGGCAGCACACCAACACAGCACGCCGCACAGCAACACAGGAACCCATGGACGCAGCAAGGAACAAGTAGACTATCACCTACTCACATATATGGAAAGCCCAGCAGACTGTGGGTTCCCGCCGCCATCAAAAGCCAGAAAACACAGAGACGCATGCATCTGTAACACAGCCATCCCCCTAAATAGTGTCAAAGACTCACAGGTACTCTATACAAACAGGGGCCCAACTATTTGGCACAACGTCAAGGTACTACACTTCGAATACTTGGATAAAACACAAGAAGTCTTAGCGATTATTTGCCAAACTTCAACTTCTTTCCATGCACAGCACACAAACAGACTTGAAGCGAAGACACATCTTGAGCATGACAATTGGGGAAAAGCTTTACACCAACCTCATATTGAACAATCACACCAGCACATAAAAATAAAAAAAGATGATGTCCACTTGAGCGCCAGGCTGCACTGACCAGTTTTCTGCCTGGGCCTACAGGGTCCTACCGGGCTGTAGCCTAGAGAATTTTAGAGGTCTAGGTCCTAGTATAGGGTCATATGTGTCCAAGATTAGCTACTTTCTTGCTTCTTCACCCGAATACAATGTACGGTCATTATAGTTGTATTGGAGGCATCTTTCAGTCTAGATACACAGCTATAATGACCGTGCGTTGTATTCGGGGGAAGAAGGTAACAGTAAGCTAACTTGGAGGTCCCAGGTTCAAATCTGACTGGCAGCAAACTTGAGAAACAAAAATAAAACAAAAGTATTTTTGCTTCACACTTGGGTCAGGTCTCGGGTTCAAGCAAATCCTCCTGAGCCCAACGAGAAAAGGCAAAACCAATTTTTTCGAGCCACATGCATTGGCCGTTTGATCAACTTTGATGGCTTCGTTCCAGAAATGTTTGTAGGGGTCTGCAGGCTCTCTACAGCTCAAAATACTGCGGTGGGGCCTGCTGGCCCTTCGTTTGTGCACATGTGGGCCCACCCTGGCAGCACACAGCCATTCCTGGCTGTTGCAAGCAGGTTGCAAGGGGCCTACTTGGGACTGTCATTCTTAGCAGAGGTTTGGGAGTAAAGGGTACTGGACTGTGGCTCCTGCAGGCAAGGCTCAAAAACCTACGGGAAGTTGAAGAGCAACGGTGGCTCCTGCAGACAACAAGGCTCAAAAACCCATGGGACGTTGAAGAGCAAGGGTGTTAGAGTTGTGACTCTCTGTGAGTCGTGTATGCAAGACTCTTTGAGAAAGGAAAAAAGAAAAAGAAAAAAAGAAAAAGTAAAAAAGAAGAGAGACTCTATAACTGTGATTGCAATTGGCTGTGAGAGTGAACTTCCATGCAAAATTAGTAGTAAATTACAGTTCAATGATCGTTCACTGTCTATGGTCAAGGGCGAAAAGGTCATTCATACCTTTCTGAAAAGTTCATCACTCTGATCGTCGCTGAAGTCCTCCTTGTAAACAAACCCCAACATTCCAGACTCGATCACGCACATCAATCTCTTCTCTTGAATCTTCCGTACCCTCGCCTGAACAAGTTTGCCAACCCACAAGGTCTGTTCTGACTCTCCTGTGACCATGTAGAATTCCTCCTCTTCTGATGGAGGGTGATACGGCACTCTCCAGTCGATATAACCATGCATTAGCTCCGATTTAATGTGCAGCAATGTCTCTATCTTCCTCCCCTCACCCGTTTCCATCATCCCATTCGCAAATTCGTCGATATCGAAATTAGCGAGAAGTTCGGGGTTCTCCTTCACCTTTCCGACAGCCATTTCCAGCTCTTCTTCTTCCATTTCGTCCCTTGTCATGCCTTGTTCTTCCAACCACACGTGCTCTGCAAGTCGCGACGCTAACTGGTACGATTCCGGATGAATCCTTGTGTCTTCTAATGGGTCCATGAAATGATTGCTGTTGGCAGCGCTTCCAGAGCTTCGCACCCGGATAGTGGAAGCACAATTGAAGAATACAAGTGGTCGCATTCCCGGTTCATTGCTAATGAAGTTCAGGAATTCCTTCCTGCTGGTAAGCCGTCCCTGGCGATTCAGACCCTGGAGCAACCACATGGCTTTCCGAGGTCCAAGCCCAGGAACGAATTGCAAAGTGGAGGCTAGCCACTCATGTTTAATGGCCATGTTGATGTCAATTCCAACCTGCGGGCACAAAAAAGGACACAAAGACAGAAAGCACATGGAACAAGTTAGGAGGGTTCATCGGGGGCAGGCTGACCTCGAAAAATGCGGAGTTTTTAGGCTTTTAGCTTCATACTGGAGTGGAGCACGCAAAAAAAACAAAGACCAGGAAGAATGGGCGGTCCAGATGCAGGGGCAGGTGACTGAAAGAAAGAGCACTGTAAAGGAGAGGCTAGACGGTCAGAAGTAATGCCCCCCCCTCTCATTTCTAGCTTGCACAATATCCTGCTGAACAATCACCAGAACGATTTCGAGAACTAGCTAGGGAGAATAAATGGCCCCCGTGCAAGCCGATGACGACACGCATAGATCGAGAAATGGCTCTCCCCCTTCCCCCCCTTCCCCTCCCCCCCAAAAAAGAAAAAAAAAGAATAAAAGGAGTGATAAACAGATACGTCCACAGTCAGAGTCAGAGTCTGCCATAGGCAGAGCTGGGAGGCAGTCCTGCCAAGAGGATAGGAAAGTCTGCCATAGCCAGAGCTTGGAAGCAGCCCTAGGCGGAGAGGGTGGGAGGAGCTGAGGAGTATGTTTGCCCAGCATGGGCTGGGAAAGGCTCTGTTGCATCAGGAACGAGCTTGCCACTGAGATTCCAGCAGCGGCTTGGTAATGTCGGTCGCAGTTGCATGCATCACATGGGTGGACCCTCCACCCAGTAGCGGCACCTTTTTTTTTTTTTTTTTTGTGACGTCCGCTGGGAGGGCTATCAGCGGTGATATGAGCAGCCACGGCTAGCAGCGCAGGGGATGGGTCCAGTCTGTTGGAGGAAAGCAATACCTGCTGGAAACCGGGTCCAGCGTCCCTGATACAGAAAAGCAAGTAATGCGTTTGAATGATCAATGTATGATGGTAGGTTGTAGGATCTGCCTCTTCAGCCCAAGATTGGCTGCCTGATTCTACCAAGATTCCTAGCAGGCCCCTACGGAGAGAGCAAGGTCCCCTGCCAAACACGGACTGCGACACACAGCTGATTTCTGAATTTTGCTCATGGAATGTATGCCTTGCTGAGTTTCCTGCTTGTTGCTGAGTTTTCTAAGACTGTGTGTGTGCATGCTTGCTGGTCTGAATGCCTGTCTGAGTGCTTGTCGATTGAGTGTGTGTGTGATCCGCAAGGGTACCCGTCCGTACGGGAGGCCCAAAGGGCCAGTACTTACCTGTTTCCGTGACATTGAGGGTTGCAGCGGGGAAAACACTCAAGTGGCGGGGAAAGAGTCCCGTGACACTTAGAGCAGCGGAAAAACACTCAAGTAGCAGGAAGGTCGGTACCACACCAAGTAGAGATAGATGTGCCGGTTCTCGAGGACGAGCAGAAGAAGACAAAAGTTGGCATTTTTAGAGGCCCAGTAGTTGTAGGCTAGGTCTAGGCGGGTACCAGTCCAACCAGTCTGAGTCTAGGGCCTGTACGGGCAATAGCAGAGGGTGCAATGATGTTTCCCTCCGAAAGGGAGGAGCTACGGGTTGCTTGGAGGCCGTCTGGCCTAGGAAGTCACCGCCCAAGAGGCAAGCAGGCCGCTATATCTCCAGGAGGAGCGAAGTGCTCGTCCTCATTCGTTGGTGTGCAAGTTTGGCGACACGCTGCTGGAGCGACCGGCACCAGCGCTAGCAGCAAGCAGCGCTTGGAGGAGGAGCGCCCAGCTCTCCACCGTGACTATGGTGGAAGGAGCCGGGCAGGAGGAGGAGGAAGGAGGAAGCTAGTAGAGGGGAGCGCCAGAGGACTTACCTGGCTATGGTGGACGCCATCTTCATCACCTTGGTGGACGCTGCATGGGGAAGGCCCCGATGGGGTAGAGCTGCACCAAGAAGCTTCGAGGCAGAGTCAGGCATGGCGACCTGAACAACAGCAGCCATAGCTGTTCTGTGTTTCCGTTGCACAGCAGGGCAATGCCCTGGTAGTCCACCATAGCCTCGTCCTTTGAGGAGGAAGGAGAAGGGCGGCCATGGCTATGGTGGACCTCATGTGATACCTGCAGTAGAAGAGGGATTCGGACATTGCTTCTGGTTCAGCCATTCAACATTATTATTATTATTTATTGTTTGAATAAGAGGGGAGGAGAAACGGACGAGGAGAGTGGTTGGCGAAGAAGAAGGGAATTATCATTGGTCTTTGCTGGTGTACATCTTCTTCTTCTTCTTCTTCTTCTTCTTCTTCTTCTTTCTTTCTTCTTCTTCTTCTTTCTTTCTTCTTCATTCTTTTCTTTTTGCAATTGGACGGCATTGTACTTTCTCATGAATGTGTACTTCGAAATCGGCCAGGATCATAACAGACAGACAGACAGACAGACAGACAGACAGAGATAGATAGATAGATAGATAGATAGATAGATAGATAGATAGATAGATGAGAGAGAGAGAGAGAGAGAGAGAGAGAGAGAGAGAGAGAGAGAGAGAGAGAGAGA